TGAAATACGAAATGTGCTGTGATTGGTTAGCTGGGCCAGTGTGTGTTGTGATTGGCAGCACTCGGCGCCTGGCCGGGAAATGTCATGCCCCTTACCCAGTGTTGGGAGTAACGCATTACAACAGTAATAATATTACAGTAGTACATTACGTTTTGCTGTAACGCAGTAATATAACGCATTACTAATAACATTTGGGTAATATTATTACTCGTTACAATCTCAGTAACACAAGTTACAACAACATATTTTAACTCAAAATTAAGTGGTGTTATTAAGTATGACGTCTTGTCGCAATTTTGCGACTTTGGAGATTAGAGGGTCAAATAGCCTAATTACCAGATTAACAAAACGAAAGGAAAAAACAGATATGCTGCTGAGTTTGGTTCACCGGCTATTTGTGTGGCGCGGCGCTGTACGAAAGTCCACAGAAAGGAAACCGAGATGACAGAAATAAAAGTAAACACATTGTGGGTAAAATAGTTTCTCTATCTTCTGTTGCTGGAATTAGATGGTTGAGATGACTGAAGAGACGGATTCTACATTTGGGAGATGGACACACTCCTGTTATTTTCAGTTTATCGTAGAAAAGGATAAGAATGCTTAGCAATATGTGCGACACCAAACTCTCAACATGGAGAAATAGCACGAGTAAAACCTGGAAACCGAGATGACAGAAATAAAAGTAAACACATTGCAGTTTCGAATGATCTGTATGACCATAAAATAAAGAGTATTTTTTTTGCTGTTTGTTTCTGCTGTTCGATCGCGCCGGCGCCTCACGCACACACAGCATTGCAAATAGCCTGAGCTCGGGCCAAAGACACATTTGCTCATGTGACGAGGATATTTTTTAAGTGCGTTATAAGCCTGGTTTACATAATAAATAATAGTTTAGCATTCAAATACATCGCAAATATGGACACATTTAATTGGATCAATGCCGAATGAGAGAGGTAGGCTGCGCGGCAACGCTGTTTGCTTTTAGTTTCGCATTGAATTAGCCTCAGTGGCGGCTCCAGGATTTTTTTGTTGGGGGTGCTAAGGGGGGACTTAACAGTTCAGAGGGGGTGCTAAAAAACTTATGCAAAATATTTGACTTAACCCTTTATGCGCCAGGGATTTTTGGGAAAAATGCTGGATTTTGACATCAAGATTTCAAAAGCTTGTAAAAGTTACGCCTATAAGCTTCAGCATACAAATTCAGCCACCTTGTGTTTTTTTTTTATACAGCAGCTTCGAAAAAGCCATATTTTAGTTTTTTTTTTCCAGTGGTATAAACTTCTCATATGCCACTGTTATTAGTGATATAACTTTAATGCCAACTGCCAAATATGACACTTGAACTTATTTGCATGTTGTTTTTTTTTATCCTCATTCCAAATGATCAGAAAAGAGTAAACCAACAATTAAACAGGAGAAAGTACTAAATTACCAACAGGCTCATCAAATCATTTGATCCA